TGGTAGTTTAAAACTGGCTATGTTTAGAGTATTTGCACCATGTAAATCAGTAAAAGCTACAAACTAGGCCTTCCTCTCTCCTCTCACCAGAGCCAGTTGTTAAACATGTACTAGAACAGCACTAAAAGGTTCTGTTCTTATAGTCTCAGCTTACTCCTCTCCAGCTCATTCTCAGAACTGCAACCACATTAATTATTTTTTTCACTTATTTGAAAGTTCTTCTATATGCTCCCACCTTGGGTCATTGCAAATTATTTTTCAATTGCCTCAAACTCCCCACTCTTTGAGTAATTCCTATGCATCATTTATATTTAAGCTCAAATGTCATTTCCTTTAGGAAGTCTTGCTGACACCCAGTCCAGGTCCAATTTATTTTTTATATACTTTCAATCTGGATATATGTGATTATTAATTTATATCTGTTTCCCTAGCTAGACCACAAGTTCCATGAGGACATAACTTATGTCCATTTTTTCTCCTTTGTATTCTCTGAACTGAGCTTTATATATTCACTGCATATCTGAATTAAGTTTTTTAATCAAGACATGTTAAAAGTACTATTACCACTGTCTCATGAGTGAAACTGCAATAATTTTAAGAATATTGAAAAGTCCTCCTACTTGAAAATGTAGGGAGCCACATTGGGAGGAGAACTCGATATTTTTATGAGTGTGCATCACTTCCAGCTATAATCCACTGAGACAAATCTGTCACAAAGCCCCACCTATTTTCCAAGTACCAAGGAAGAAAACATGTAAGTTTGATGAGCATCTAACCAGTTTCTGCTACAGCCTGTTCTTTTTGGACACTAAATATTCATTCCTTCTTGTTCCTTTACAGAACACACCTTTCCTCTCCCCAAAGAAGACAACCCAAAGTTCCCCCCAGGCACTGCATCCATCTCAGAGAGCAGGACCTCCAGCTGCTGTGTAGTTTTCTCCAACAAGTCCTGATATGGCTCCTTATGGTCCAGTAATATGAAAACCAACTACAGAAAGGATCTTTACCTTTCCCAAAGCATATAACATACAGTAATAGAGCAGATACAGGATAACCTCAGTAAAAACTCCATTAGTGAAAGGGAAGAAAGTAAACACAATAGTCACCAGTACAAAGATGTTACAAAATTCTATTGGAAAGTCACTGAGAAGGCCCCCTAACATGGAGGTGGGGAAGTTCCTTGAATAGACAATGATTTTTCCCTAGGAAGCACTCTCTTCATTTTTTTAGTGGCCTCTGGATCCACTCTCTGAGAAGCCTTTTACTTGTTCCTCAGCCATGTCTTGCTATTACCCAACTTAGAGGTTGTATGGCTTGTTTCAACCACTTCCTGATAAATCTAGATTATCCTACTTTTTGAACATACAATTACATCAAGGTTCATGGTTTCCTTGGGAATATAATTCTCTTAAAAATCTGTTAGACTTTTAAATCTATTTGCTTCCGGTTAATTCTGCATGACAATAACCACATTCAAAGTCATTTTTTAAATATATTGTTCTAAAATCTCCTTCGTATCTTTGTTTTCTTACCCCTTGGATTAGTCTCTCAATAGTGACTGCCATGAGGGTATCTGAGATAATGGGCTGGTGGTAAAAGATGTACTTTTAATATGCTTTTTGCTGCAATGTTAAGTCTTGGTAGATACTTTCTCAAAACCAAGGCCCCAAGTACCTAGTATCTCTCTATGCCCTTTCATTTCTAATTGGAAACTAGCCAGGACTTAGTTCTCAGTTTATCTCATGTTTCTAATAACTTCCTAAAGGCAGCCAGAAACCACCAATGTATGTTAATAATGCATTATCCAACTTACTTACCTAAATCTACAAAGCTCAGTAAGTACATGGTCTAGATTCCAACTTACTGCGGGTGGCAGTTTTTACCATTATGTAAGATGCATCTCCAACCTTCTAGTTTGCTATACCTGGCTTCATGCTGCCACTTAATATAAACCACTAACGCAGCACCACATCTCTTTCCTGTGCCTTATGCTTTACTTTATTGTTGACCAAGTCTAAATAATTCTACCTTTCTAATATCTGTAAAATCTCTCCCCTCAACAGTATCCCCAGTGCTACTACCTTCATTTAAGTTGCCTTTCCTCATGTGAATTACTATCTCCTTATTGGTTTCTATGCCTCTAAAATCCATCACACCTCATCTCTACAGCCAATAAACATGTTAAAATGCAAATGTTATCGCTGCAACTTCTCTTTAAAACATTTCAATGGTTCTCTTAGCTTTTAGGTTCAAGGTTCTTCAGTATTTAGTCTGTTATCTCTAATCCCTCCCCAATCCTCATGTTCCAGTCATGTAAAATCATGTTAATTCTGTCAGTAACATCATAATCACTTTCAGATATCCATTATCAGGTAGATGGTAGGCCCTCTAGCTAGATAAAACTTTCTTTTCTTTTTTGAGTTAATGTTTATTTATCCTTCAAAATTTACCAAAGACTTTAAATTTCCTGGGAATCCATTCCTGACCCCTGAATCTGAATCAAATATCCTCCTATTCATTTTAAAGCAGTAGAGTGTCTTTCTATTATAGTATGAGTCATACTATTATCATTGTCTATTTATCCTCTTTCAATGCCACTGCAAAAACTACATACATCAAATTAGAATTTCCTGTGGGTAAGCAGCATATCTTTTGTCTCTCATAGTTCACATATTAAACAAGAGTTAGGCAAAAAAAATGCATGAGCCCCACAATTTCAGTATGGTAGTGACCCCTCACATCCATCTTCAATCTTCACCTATCTCTCCAGGGCTAGATCTCCTTTTCTAACTTCCTAATGGCTATCTCCACATGTGTGTCTACTTAACACATCTAAAACTGAATTCATTATTTCCCCCTACCCCTTTCCCTACCTGCCCAAAATCTGTTTCTCTTTTTATTGTGGTTCAAATGTTTGTATCTCTCCAAAATTCATGTTGGAATCATTAAGAGGTAGGACCTTTGAGGAAGTGATTAAGCTATGAGGGCTTCACCCTCATAAATGAGAATAATGTCCTTATAAAAGAGGCTTCAGAGAGCTGCTCACCCTTTTTCCCTTCCATCCCTTCCACCATGTGAGAATACAGCTTTTGTCCTCTCCAGAGGACACAGCCTTCAAGGTGCCATCTCGGAAGCAGAAACTGGACCTCTTACAAAACACTGAACCTGCTAGTTAGTACCTTGATCTAGGATTTCCCAGCCTCCATAACTATGAGCAATAAATTTTGTATGTTTAAAAATTATTCAGGCATTTTGTTATAGCAGCAAGAACAGATGAAGACACCCTCTAAATTTCTAAATCAACCTAAGGACTTTTGTCCAGTTTGCCAGTCTAGAAATGTCAATATTTTTATCATCTTCATTTTCATTATACAATCAGTTGATTTTTCAAAAGCCAGTTTATTCATCCTAAAATAATCCACTAATTCTGAATGTACCAAAATGTATTAAAAAGAACACTAGTCTCAAGGACATTAATTGGTACAACGTGAAAAAAATAAAGGTTCTTTGCCCAAATGAACTGGGGGTAGAAAGGTTAAAAACAGTAAACAGATTTCTTTTCTACAGTATTTCCCAGACATTTCAATATATTAATAATCACTATGAATCTCCAATAAGGAATATAATATGCATTTTTAAATGCATCTAACCAAAGAATTCTTTGTTAGGGTCATTGAATCACTCAGGACTAACATTCTGAGGAACATGCTTTGAGAAATGCTGATGGAACAGCCCTTCTCCACACTTTATGCTTCCCTACTGCCCTAATTCAGGGCCTGTCATCTCTCACCTGAACAGCCTCCTCACTTAGCTCTCTGTCATCACTCTCTACAGTCTCTGCTGCCAATTTTATTTTTCTAACAGAAAGATCTGATCATATCTCACCCCTTCCCCCACCTATAGATTTAAAATCACCATTGTCTTTCTATTAAAAATAAGTTCATATTCTAGGTTGACTATTATATTCCCTTCAAACTCTAGCCCTACCCATATTCCAAACTTTATTTCCTACCACATCTCTCCTTTCCCAAAATATATTGTGTTCTTACATCCTTCAGAGCGTTAATGCATTTTGTTCCTACAGCTCAAAATGGCCTTTCCTGTTTCTAACCTGCTTCTCCTGAAAAACCAGTTCTAAAGATATTTCTTCTGATAAATTTTCAGTCTAGCCCTTGGTTGGTTACTCCTCAACGTTTCCATAATGCTTCACACTGACCTCTCTTACAACAACTGTTACACTGTATAGTAAGAAATTACCTTGTGTTTATCCTCACGATTACTCTCTGAGCCTTTTAATTTCTGTTTCTCCAGCTCCTAACTTAGTGCCTGGCACAGAGCAGTCAATCTTTGTTGATTAGGAAAATAGAAATGAGTGCATGAATGAATAAACATATTTAGAAATAACAAAAAAGGAAGAAAATAAGATAAGGCTGTGGAAGCTATACTAGAAATGTATTCTAAGTGGTCAAATATTGAAGCCATTAGTTTCAGGAAAACAATATCACTTTGCTTAAATCAATCTCTAGTTTATACCTTACCATGTTCCTGATAGAGGATAAACCTTTACAATTTATCTTATGGGAAAACTCTATAGCTTCCAAAAATTGTTTTAGGGTTTTGAGGAAACACACTCATGAGTAAGTTGCCTATCCTAGCAATCCTGCTCAAAAACAGAATTCAGGGCTATCGTCCATGGCTGCTTTAGCATCTGTAAAATAAACAGTCTCTGAGGATTTTCACTAGGAAGAAGATCATTTCTGGAAGACATGGCTAACCAGTTTTATTCCCCTAAATTTCTCTTTCCCCTTAGAATGCATTCTTCTCAATTCCTGGTGGTTCCCAGAGATTAGCAGCTCTATTAATCAGACCTCCCTACCTTTCATTGTTAAGATTTAAAATTCAGGGAATTGTTTGAACAAGAAAATTCCATTACAGGCACATAAGAAGCAAACAGTTTTGTCATGGGTTTGCTGAATTTCTTCACTCCACTGAAAACTTACCTTTTTTAATTAGATCTATGGGCCTGCATTTTTCTCTTCTATTAAAAATGTGTGGTTCCTTGAAGGAGATTGATGGTAGGGGTTCCTGAAGATGTCCACTTTTGGAAAGCTCCTTGGGAAAGCAAATCCTTCTTAGCACAGCCCAATGGTCTTGCACCACATCATGTGTTTCCTTTCTGTCAATCTCCAAAGGTATATATTTGCCACATTTCGGTTTTTGGTGTTTCTTTCTAAAAACATTTACAGAAGTACCTTGAACTTTATTCTATGAATAAAATAAAAATAGATGTTGGCAAAATTTTAGTGCGCATTATTTAGTAATGTTACATAATACATTTTATTAATAAGTTCATAAAATTGCATCTCTACTAGAAACATTTTACAAAGTAACTTACTGTATAAGACATCTACTCTAATGTAAAATACAAATGGCAGTAACCAACTAAATCAGATGTTTTTCTATGTCATTCTCCAAAAGTCCTTCGCAACCATAAGGATTATATTCTACTTTGAAAGAAATGTAAATTTTAAAATAGCAACTTTCTCCTCAAAGTGATATTTTTAAATACAGGTTTCAAAGTCCATTGTAAAATAGGAGTTTTTCAAATAGACAATTTAATATAGGAATTAAATTATTTTCAACCATCTTTGAAGAACTTTTGGATAGCCATAAAATGCTAACATCCCTCAAACCTCTTTCTTTGCTGAACCAGAAATAAGTGAACATACATGGAAGTAAGCTCTTAAAAACAGCACATTGGTAATAGAACATATATTTCATATACTTTTAATCATAACTGCTTCCTAATTTTGACTACCTTGAAGGATAGAGGAATAATACAGCTCTGGATCTCTGACAGGTAATTATCCAAACAGCATAATTATTCTACACACAGATAGAACTATAGTTCTTCCCTATGTCCCCAACAACACACATCAAAAAAAGGTTTAGAAAAATTTAAATTGTTCCTAATTCAAAACGTCAATAAGGAGGTTTTAGTGTGCTAATATTACATTTTGCCAGGAACCTAAGATGGAATACTGGGCTATTATTAATAGATAAAAATTTTAAAACAGGTCAAGTTTCTAAGGCATATCTGTCTAACTATGAAGACTGTGAAATGTTCATCCCATGTTCCCACCAGTGAAATCAATATAATTGAAAATCATTTTAAATTGGTTAGAGAAAAAATTAGCTAAGCAATGTGAATAATGCTGATTACAAGATTAAAACTACATATGCCAGCCTTGTTATAAAGGACCATTCAAAAGAAACATAAGTAAAAATTAGAATCCTCCTCCCTGACTACAAGAAATATTGAAAAATATTTAAAATATTGTTTAAAGATTTTTTTTTAAGTATTCAAAAGAGGACTAGGATCATTTGGCACACAGTAAACTATCCGAAGGTAACCTTCCCTCACCTCTCTTCCCAAAGGCCCATCTGTCACAGTAGTGCCCCTTGCCTAAATTTGCTGCCTCCTCTATAGATGCTCTCCTCCAAAATATCACCCTGTGCTCACCCTCCTCCATCTCTTCGCTATCCCTTTCCCTTCCACTCCTTCTTCTCACTTCGCAAATATATGCTATTCAGCAAATATTTATTGAGCCAGGTACAATCATTATTGCTAGAGATACAACATTCAAAAACCAGTCTATGCCCTCAAGGAGCTATCAGACCAGCAAATAGACAACTCTAATGCAAAAAGATATATGAAAGATAATGGAAGATACAGGTAAGCATGGTCATGCTCAGGGTATAAAAAAGACTCATCTCACAATATATTTTCTAGTTTAGCTTTATCTAAACAGTATTTAAAGGGATATTAACTTAAGATGAAAAATCCAATTATTTAAAATTCTTCAAAAATTTTAAATCGTATGAAATGTACAAATCAAACACATTTGTATAATTAAAATTTGTATAACTAGAAAGTCTTATTTTAAAATGTCATATAAAATCAATGTTATAGCTAGTGAGGATTTCATTTTTCTCAATTCTATTATCTTTTCTATTTCTTTTTTGTTTGTTTGTTTGTTTTGTTTTTGAGATGGAGTCTCACTCTGTCACCCAGGCTGGAGTGCAGTGGCATGATCTGCAACCTCTGTCTCTTGGATTCAAGCAATTTTCTGCCCCAGCCTCGAGAGTAGCTGGGACTACAGGCGTCCACCACCATGCCTGGCTAATTTTTTTGTATTTTTAGTAGAGACGGTGTTTCACCATGTTGGTCAAGCTGGTCTTGAACTCCTGACCTCATGATCCACCCACCTCGGCCTCCCAAAGTGCTGGGATTACAGACGTGAGCCACTGCACCCAGCCTCTCTTTTCTATTTCTTCAATCACAAATTAGGGTTTATGTAATCCTTTGAAATAATCATAGTAGTATGCAAAAACTTAAAAATGTAATATTAGATAAATGCAAAGTATTAACCTCATTTATTTTCTCATAATGCTGGACAATGAGAGTTTTTGCTTCTTGAAAAAAGTCTTGCTTTGTGATCTCTAATGTAGGACCTAATACAGAAACAGAAACATTTTTTTAAGCAGGTAATGTGAAAGTGAATTTTTTAAGTGGACATTATAAGAGGAAGCAAAAGAATATAAATATCTCAATGTAATATTTTGCTTTTTAAGAAAAACTATAAGCTTGTAATGGTCAGGTGATAAGGTAGATTATCTTAAGTTACTTCAGCCCAGATACAGCAAAGAAAATAAACAAAATAGAAATACTCTTCCATTCTGAAAGTCCTTCAAATGTTACTTTATAGAAGATATAACAACATGTTTTGGGCACAAAAGTTACTAACAAGTCTATCTGTGTTTTCCATATTTAATGACTAATGTAGGAAGCTGTAACCTTCCTCAAGAGTATTTACCTTCCAACTTGTTGATAAAATTATAAGTGTAAAATAAAATGCCTCAATAAATTTATTAAATAGAAGTATCAATTATATTAAAAATACATGCCTATGGATGGATGATGGATGGATGATATTATAAGTTTTATTTCTAAGTTATTTATTTATTTATTTATTTATTTATTTATGTATTTTGGTGAGACAGGGTCTCACTCTGTTGCCTAGTCTGGAGTACAGTGGCACAATAATGGCTCACTGTAACCTCTGCTTTCCAGGATCAAGCAATCCTTCCACCTTAGCCTTCCAAGTAGCTGGGACTATGGGCATGTACCATCACATTCAGCTAATATTTCTACTTTTTGTAGAGATGGGGTTTCACCATGTTGCCCAGGCTGGTGTCGAACTTCTGGGCTCAAGCAATCCACACACCTTGTCCTCCCAAAATGCTGCAATTACAGGTGTGAGCAGCAGCACCCAGTCTAAGTGTCTTAATTTCTTTTAAACAGGACTACGTGTACAATTCTATAGCATGTAGACTACATCATTCTCATTTAGCCTTGTCTAAGTTTTCCTCTTTATATATTTTATTTATTATTAGCTGATCCTGTGCTTGCTTCAGCAGTACAAATACTAAAAATTGAATGATATTAGCTGATCCTGACACTTATAAGTGTTTCTTGGCTTCCTCCTCTTAACTCAAACTCAGTAAAATTTAAATACACTACCTATTCAAAGTCTGGCCAGTAGGCTCTCTGTTTTTATAATTCTACCTCCTTTAGTACTCTTACTATGAAGGTTTTCTCTCCTCTTCACCCACTCATATTTTAAGCAATTAAAAACTCAGTCTTCATGTAACTCGAAACCATAATGAGATACCACTACACTCACCAAAATGGCTAAAATTAAAAAGACTGATAACACCAAATGTTGATGCAGCTATAGAGCTACTGGAACCCTCAAGTATTGCTGGTAGAAATGAAAAATAGCATAATCAGTTTGGAAAAGGTATGGCAATCTCTTATAAAGCTAAATATACACCCATCCTGCAACCCAGCAATTCCACTCCTAGGTATTTACCAGAGAGTATGAAAATGTATGTTTACAAAAGACTTGTACAAGAATGTTTACAGTAGCTTTACTGATAATCATTCTAAATTGAAAACAGCCCAGATATGTAACATTAGGGGAGTTGATAAACTGTGGTATATGTGTACAATAAAAAACTACTTAGCAATAAAAAAGAGGTACCTCTGACGTGTACAATACTATGGATAAATTTCAAAACATGCCAAGTTAAAGCAGACTTATACAAAAAAGCACACACTATATGGTTCCACTTATATGAAGTTCTAGAACAGATAAAACTACTCTACAGTGGAAAAAACAAACAGAACAGTTATTCTGCTGGGAGGTATGATGGATTGACTGAGAAGAGACATGAAGAAAATTTCTGGAGAGATGGGAATGTTCTTTATCTTAATAGGAATTTGGATTACACAGGCATACATTATTGAGTGTACTCAATGAATGTACATCTAAGATTTCTGCATTTCCTTATATGCACATTTTACATCAAAATAAGAAAAACTATAAACAAATAATGAATTCTAACTAATGATATGCATGTAGCTTGAAGGATAGGTATGTGACAAATCAAGTATAGTAAAATATTAATGGTAAGAACTGGGTAGTAAGCTTATGGGCATTGATTTAAAATTCTTTCAAGCTTGCTCTATGTTCAAAAAGTTCATAATAAATTATTGAAGGCAAAATTGTCTCTTTATTACTGCACAAAATATCTCCTTGTTTTTCATCACGTAGACTCACAGGCCACAAGTAGCTGTTACCCTGGGGTAATGACGTCCTAAGGAATGAAGCCTGGTTCATATTAATTTCCCTGTTCAAAGTCATAAGAAGCACTGTCCTCACATGGAAAGGGCAAGAGTTCTGGAATTAAAACTGTTTCATCAAATCTTAACTAAAATCTAATTTTGCTTTGAGGAGGCCTCTAGCCAGAGCATTTACTTCATGGCAGAAAGGCAGAGAGCTATTCCTAGGTGTGACTTCACAACTTGTCCTCTATTTCCTTCTCTCATGACGATATTTTCCTCTTTTCAATCCTTTGTTCAGACTATTCAAATATCTCTTACAAGTACTTCAATTACAATCACTTATAATTACAACATTGTCATGCATCATGCAGATGACAAGCAATATAATTTATTAATATATTAATCTACTGTTTTTCTGTTGTTATTGAAAATGTAGCTTTGTGGAAACCATCATTTCTTCATTTCAGACAAGACCTTAGAGATGATCTAGTCTTCATTTACAGGCAAAGTTCTGAGATGCAGAGACCTGACAGCCGGCTGAAGTCACACAGCTGTGTTAAGGCTGTGTGTAGGTACCATGCTCCTGAGTTCCTTGCTGCCCTTTTCTACACATCTGCTGCTTTTCCTGATTCCATGTACTGCCTATGAGTACTAGAAATTCCACTGAAACTTGGCTGGTCACCCTAGTGAGATATGCACGTTTCCCTGACACCTGGATTTTAAGCCAGCACTTCCGCCTCTTCTTGTCACGTAATGTGCTGATGCAGCTGTTTTGATCTCCCCCTTTGTAACTAGAAATTAGCTTTTGACAGAGGAGTTAAATTCCCAAGGTAGCATATTCTTTCTTGCTGGGCTCTTTCTTCATGAAACTCTGATTTCCCCTGTCCACTAGTGCCACTCATCACCTGTGGACCATGGAGAAACTATATGCACTCTGGCAGCCCTAATGGCCTTGTTGGGGCCAGAAAGCAGATCTTGACATGTCAAGGTACTGTCACAACATACCCATACGATCAGGCCATCAGATTATTGACAGAACAAGGCCTGAGACTATTCATAAAGGAGCAGAGAAAGTCAGCCATGGTCAGATAGCAGCAATTTCACATAGATACTAAAATGGCTCCAATGAAGGCATGTGGACATTAACTTCCAGCTAGCAGTCCTGAGCCCTTGTTGTCATTTGAGACACTGAGGTACCTGTCCTGATTTTCTACCGTTACTAAAAAGTAGCCTTGAACAAAAGAGTTAAATTTACAAGCTAGCACAAGGTACTCGTACTTCAATGCCTTAGAAAAGGCAATGCTAGAATCATTTATTTTTATAATTTCCAAGGACATCTATTCAACAAATGAGTCTAAAAATTACAAGAAATTAAACAATATATATATAAAATCTCCATCCAGTCAATAATCCTCTAGGCTTCTCTTTCTTTATTCATAATGGGGCAAGAATATAGGTTTGCATCATTTACACATTCAAGTGTACTTCATATATTATTTTGAGGAAGTTGCTAAGGTATGTTCCTTCTGTATTATGAAAACTATACTTATGGCTTAATTTGTACATATTGAGAGTATATAGAATGATTTTTAAGAGCTGATATTCCTGAGTCACTCTATTTTGTGTCTGAATTCCAATTTGCTCATGAACCTTATTGTCTTAAGCCTTATTTTTCTTATTTGTAAAATGAGGATAATAATAATACATGCCACAGAGTTGTCTGAAGATTAACTTAAACATTGTTACAAAACAGCACAGCACCTGACACAAAATAAGTTTTCAAAAAATGTGAGAAATTTTATTATTTTTAGTATTCTTGTATTACTATCATTGGGCTAATGATAGTAACACTGTTTCTCCAACAGCGTTTATATAATTATTTTTTAGTCAATCCTCATTTCTTCAAAATCACAAAGATAACTTTCTAATGCACTTTGGATAAATTGTCTTATTAAAATTCCTTTTATCCAAAACTAATTAACATGTTTGCAGTTAATAAAATATTTTCATACATATTATTCTTCATGTTATTAAAGCCCTCAAAAGCAATAGTAAGTCATTATAAGCAATAATAAATGTTTTTGCAATAAAGTTCATGAAGAGGTTGAAACAGTCATATTAAACTCATCTAAGACAAGAGTGCAAATACTAACATTTCCATAGGAAAAAAATAGGAGTACCTCTAATCCCAAATACTTCACTAGCCTAAAACATTTCCATACATTTATTTTATCTTTTAAAAAAAAAACCCTCAGTTTTCATATATCATCAGCTTAACATGATTGTAATGACAGTTCATAAAATCAGATTTATCTACTACTTTAGAGGTTCTACATAGTTGCTCCAGTGAACCTCTGAAGTGAAGATACAAAAAGAAAATCTAGTTATGGAAACTATGACAAAAAAATGAGCCATCTCTTAAGTAGAATCACTGAGTAAGTCTTTTCTGTATCCAAAGACCCAGGGGTTTTAAAACATTTGTTTTCCATAATCATAATAAAAATAACTGGCCATACTCAGAGGGTTTCCATCCTTCCCATTAATAGGCTACATTCTTCAGAGAGGCTTCACAAACATTTATTTAAAAAGTAATCTTAAGCAAAGATGTATGGCCACATGGCTAAGGCCAACCCTACGTATGCAATTAGGGTAAATGCCTGACAGGTGTACAAAAGCCCCAGTTAGACACAATAGGACTCAGTTTAGCACATATTTATTACATATCTACTAAGTGCTAGATGCTGTTTTGATGCTAAATGTACTAAAATAAATAAGATTAGCTATTTCTGTCTTCCAAGTGCTTAAGGGTCTAGTGCAAGAAAAAAAATGTGTAAATAGATGCCATGACAGTCAGTTAAGATGGACACTGTGATAGAAGCCAACAACCACCAACACTCCCTACCGCTAGCTCACTAATGTATGAATATCCCTTTAAAAAGATAAAGCTTCTCACTGTATTATTAAAAATAATATTGAAAACAGAAATATCCCAAAAGAAATAACATGTGAATGGAAGCCAGGTTTAGGCAGTGGTTTTAAATTTAAAGTGCTTCATTAATTTCATGTGCTGTGGGGGTGCTTCCTTCTTTCAATCAGAGCCCGGATCTTATCTGTTTTACATATTTGAGCTCGTCCTAAGTTTTATTTTGCAGAATTTCTTTGCTGAAAAGTGAATACACACCAACTGAGCAAAAAACAAATAAAGGTCTGAATAACTGCATCTATGGAAAGAACCTGCTTGTAAACAAGTTCAGATGGAGAGAAGGGTTGGAGTGCCGAGAAGTGGGAGAAGATGGACAGAGGAGAAGCTAGAGAGGAGAGAAGCTGGAACTAAGGCCATCAGTTCTAGGGTAAAGAGTTATGGAACCTGGAAAGTGAATAGAAGCTCTTTGGTCAAAAACTTCTAATATAATACTTTATATTAATTTCATTATAAGGAAGTGAAAAAACATAAATTATTTCTAATTTCTTCCTAAAAAGAGTTATAAAACCAAATAAAACCCAAATTTCAAGTGGTATCTGGTTATCAACTCCTAAAACATATATTCAACATTCTTCCCCATAATACATTCTGCATTAAGACTCAACTCCTCAGTTCTAAATTAAAGGCACTCTGTTGAATTGTCTCTTACTGACTCACTTTCTCCCGCCCTTATTCCTTGTTTTTCTTTAACAAAGTATCTCGCCTTCTTAGCACCAAGAAATGCTAATAATTTTCATATATACCTCAGACATATTTTATAGGATACTGCCCAAAAATCTTTCTATGTTAATATTTCTCAGACTATGGCCAGGTTGCTATGGAGATGGAGGGAAATGGCAAGCTCATAGCATCAAGGTCATGTGGGCATGACCTAAGACAAAATGGAACTAGAGAATATTCCTCCTCTACTTCCTGGATCCTCCACCCTTTCTGACCTTCTCATCTTTAAAAATGTTCTGTGTTATCAAAATAAAAAGAGTTAAAGTGATCATCACAGAGCTCTACTGGCAGCCCTAGGCAGATGCCAGCTGGCCTGTATCATATACTGTCAGGGGTAACAGGAGCCAAGAGGAAGTAGCAGAACAGTAATAACCTCAGCCCTATGTGCAGCACTATATGTTAGGACTGCTTGTCTTGTTGCCAAGTCTATATCAACTATAAAAGAAATACAATGTGTAATTAATAATAATGTATGGTATACCTGAAATTTGCTAAGAGAAAGATCTTAAGTAGTCTCATCACACCAGAAAAAAAGCTAACTATGTGAAGTAAGAGATATAATTAGCTTGATAGTGGAAATAATTTTACAGTGTATATGTATGTTAACACACGTTGTACACCTTCATATGTATTCAATTTTTATTTGTAAATTACACCCCAATAAAGCTGAAAAAAGATATACAATGTAAACTGAATTTTATGTAATTCATATGTAATTTAAATGCTTTCAAGTAGACATACTAAAAAGGTGAAATTCATTTATATAACATAATAATTAATTTTTAGACTATTTTATTTAAATAAAATGCACCCACACATTGCCATTTAAACATTAATCAATATTGAAAATGAAAATGAATTAGATATTTTACATGCTTTTTGTTCCATCTTCAAAACTCTGTATGCATTTTGCTTGTACTTATATACATCTCAACTCAGATGCTAAATTTTTGTCAGAACTACTTAACCTTATCTAAATATCATAAAATAGTCTCCTGAAAAAAATAGATTTATGTGCCCAAATTTGTTCAAAACATGCTTAAAGTTTTCCAGTAACTGAATTATCAGTTTTTAATTTTAAATTAAAATTTATTAAACTTAAATTAAATATTCAGTTCCTTAGTTTCCACAAGCCACATTTCAAGGATTGAGTAGCCCACATATGAAAAGTGAATACCATATGGGATAGCACAATAAGTTAAAAAGATCTCTCAAAAGTTGGTTATTTATAATAAAGGGAATGAAATAAATCCTTTCAAGATATGCCAACAGTGTGGTGCTCTGAGGGTCACAAATTAATAGAAAATATTAGTTAAAACAGTTGGAGTGTTATGACTTGTACATCAAGTTGTTAGGTAAGCATAGATACTCACATTTTGCTTTTTCAGCCATAGCCTCTGCAGTAGTCATGAGGGGAAGTTAGGATAATCTTCTTTTTTGAAGGGTGAGCTCCAAATCCTTAAACATAGTTACATTAAGTAATTCAGTGATAATAAATATTTATTTTTAGCCATTTATTTTGCTCACTCATAAGTAAATAGGATGAAAGATTAAAACTTTTTATATGTCATTTCTATGCTCTGCAACCCTCAATGCCTTCCCCTCCAAAAGACAATAACGATAGCTGGCATTGGGTAGGGCTCTGCAATTAATCGAGTGCTCGTATACACATTGCCTTACTGAAACTAAACAACCCAGTAGGAACTATTATTACGAATATTTGGCAGATGTGGAAACTGGAGCTTAGAGAAGTAAAATAACTTGTCAAGGTAAGAAGTTATGTAGTGGCAAAACTCAAATCCAAATGTTTGGGCTCAAGACCCTATGCAGGTCTCAGATTTCTTACTACTTTCCACTACCTACTTTCTTAGTACTTTCAACTAATATCCAGTTAGTACTTGGCACATGCCTTATACACTCCTACCTTCAAGTTCAGTTTATCTCAGCCTTCCGCTCAGAATGCCTTGACATCTCATCTATATTTATTTATATCCTACCTGCCCTAAGAGCCTAGGTTCAAATCCCACCTCTTCCATGACCACCCAGCCTCTGTTATTGTGATCTGTTCCTCTCTTAAATACAGTAGTTATGTTGCCCATACCTCTCCCTAGAAATTGATCATATGCTGTCTAAGGAGCTAAAAACACAGAGTGATAGATACATACTATACATCTATATTCCCAATTAGTCCTATATTCCCAGTTAGACTCTAAATGCCTTGAAAACAAAACTATACTTTATACCAGTAGTTCTCAACACTGGATGAATATCAGATTCACCTGAGGAGTTTTTAAATACATGTCTAGAGTGGAACCTAGGCATCTGCATTTTTGAAAGTTTCCCAGAATATTTAAATGTTCAGTTAGAGGAATGAAATCTGCCTTGTGCCTCATCCTTCATGAGGCACCGGTTCCCAAGCCGGTGCATTGCATTCTGGAGGTGCTCAATAAAGGGCTGATTAATAGGTTCATTGAGCTGAGCCCTTCTACATTTGACATTATCATTATTTCCAAAGCGTTATCAAAAATGTATCAAATGTTACCTCTGTAGCCCAGAAGTCAGTTACATCAGTGCATGCTACTGTATGCCCACATGGCTTTAATATTAGAAATGGGAATATTAAATGCTTTAACAGAGCTCCATGGAGGCCCTTGTTCTAAGACTCTATGTATAATTATTCAGTTGGCAGACTCTACTAACAAACTATGAGTTCAGAATTCAAGACCTATTAAATAATTTGGTAATTCTTTTAGTAACTCTGTAGGAAAGTTCTGCCCTATGAAAGTCAGGACCCTGTAGCCTCATACTCTTAGATAAAATGCTATAACACTTTCCCTCACCTTCTACCCAAAAGGGGGAAAATACTATTGCAGTTACAGTTTTAAAATAGCAAATCTGAAACATCCAAAAATGATTAATTCTCAAGTTGTCAGCATCATCACATGAGCACAGAATATGCACCTTGTCTGCCTAGTTCTGCAAATGAACTGGGTTAAATTAAAATACTGCATCTCCCTTAGCAATTAACAATCAGAACTCATCTTCTAGCCTGGTTTAATTACTATCTTCTTTATTTTTAAGTATAAGAAGGAAATAAAATTGTTTTGTGCTCTGTCATTTTCTTGTTTTAATCTCCATAGAAATGGACGCTTCTCTGGGGCTATTGGCTCCTCCACCTTAATTCAATGTGCCAGGAGTGTCAGCCTGCATTAAATTGGCTGGCAAGCAAGATATCCCACTGTCCTTTTAATGCAGAAAACTAGTCAAGCATCCTAAGGGGTGCTGGCGTGGTAATGCCCCTGCAAACCCGAGGTGATGAGGGAGGACTCTGAGACAGGAGCTGGGGGTGGAGAAAGGCCATGAAGGATGGAATTGCTTACAAATGGACACAGTGACATAAAATATCAGCAAATGGGGCCCCTCTCCACTTTAAGTCTCCAGCAGACAGTTATGAGATGCTGAGTGCATCCGTCAATTAATAAAATCATATTTAATGCCTGAGTTGTGCAAGGGACTTTCCATTTATTTCAGGAAAAAAAGCCAAAAACATAATGTGTCTCTCAAGCCTAAACTACTAGGACTTCCCTCCCAGCTTTTGTCCTAGTCATCCTTCTCTGATAAGTATAAGACCCCTTCCACTTTTCCTCTACTAAGTCAACAAAGACCTTTAGGTTATCTTCTGGATTTTCTTTCTAACTGACTTCTTTCTGTCAAGTCTCCTAGTGTCTCTGACCATATCATCAGTTCTGCCAGCACCAAACAATGGGAATAAGAAAAGAAAAGGAGAGCAGTTAAAGGAAACCAAACAGTACAAGTCCCAGTGAGGACCAATATAACAGGGCCAATATTAGGCATCTAAAATGTGTAAAGGTATACAGTCATTGCTCTGTATATGAAGGATTGATTCCAGGACCCCTGTGAATGCCAAAATCTGCAGATGCTCAAGTCTCTTATGTAAAATGCCATAGTATTTGTATATAACCTATGCATACTCTCCCATATAGTTTAAATCATCTCTAGATTATTTAAAATGCCTAATATAATGTGAATGCTATGCAGGTACTTCTAACACCATATTGTTTAGAAAATAATGACAAGAAAAAAGTCTGTGCACATTCAGTACAGCCACAATTGTCCATTTTTTTTAATATTCTCAGTCTGTGTTTAGTTGAACCCACGTTTGTGGAATCCATGGATACAGAGGTGCAGCTACACTAGATTATAGGAGAATAAAAAAATTATAATTACATAATTAAATTATAATCCAAATTTGTCAGAGGGCCATAAAATGAGTTGGAAAGAAGATACTCTATGAATTTATGATTAATATCAGGTAAGCCAGGAATCCAGGGACCACATGGAACAGTGGCAAGCACATGAAGTTATACTCCTTTCCTGATGCAGAAACCTTCCTCTAATTCTCTAAATAACTCAGGTGAATATGCTACCCAGAACCAGGAAGTGGGAAGGAAAGAATATAAATAAATCATTAGGATATCACTTCGGCTAACACAAAGCTCAGATTCCAGGAGCACTGTGATGAGAGCAAACTTGGATTTCAGTCCTGATTCTGCCATTGTCAAAGTGATCCGGAGCAAACCAATCAACCTCTCTGAATCCTACTTCCTTGTCTAGAAGCAAAAGATTTAAAATAGATACATAATATTAAAAATAGTAGCTTCAACTTATGTTTAAAGGAACTCTTTCTCAGAAGCCAATGAGAATAGCAGGTGGAAAGCCTGGCTGCTCTGACAGAAGAGGGTCTTAGGGGCTTTCCTTGAACTGCCCATCACTCCCAACTACCTCCCACCCACCTTCAACCCCACACTCCAGGTTCAGAGATGTACAATCAATGACTTCAAAGGTACCTTCTGTATATAAGTTTTCATTATTTCATAAAATAGATGTTATGTTCTATTCTCTTATGGGCATGCATGGACACTTACATTAATTAAGAGATCTCAAATATCCCCAGCTTTACATAAAATATTTAAATCTTTAAATCACATAAAAGCAGTTATTAATACATTTCAGTTCTCAACTCATTAAAAAGGAGATGTTAAACTGAAAACACTCTCCCATTATACTTTAAAATTCTTTTACTTACTCTTTTTTGTTAATTACACTCTTTTTTTTTTTTTACCTTTTACCTCTCTTAATGGGTAAAAACAACTATTCAGAGCCATTTTCAACAAACTATGGAATTTTTCTGTGACCTTATTTTAGGATTTTGATACATTTCTGTATAAAATAGGATTTGGCAATACATGAACACATACGTCGAAAGTCATTGAAGATCAAAGCTTACAAACAGATGATGGGCTGGGGTTGGTGAAACAAGACTATCATTCATGGTGGTTAAGTAGAGTAACTTGGGGGTAAAAAGGAAATGATCAATGTTAGATGGAGCCATACTTGAGTAGAGATCAACTGCTAGAATAAATTGAAATACTGCATTTTAGTCCATGTATCATACACAATTATAAGCACAAATATACAATATAAAGAACTTTTACAAATCAATGAAAAAGACAGGCAGTTGAATATAAAAATAGGCAATCAAATGGAAAAGAACCATGTGAAAAGATACTTATTCAAAACTGATTCATCACCCAGGAAACACAAATAAAACCACAACCATCACACAACCAAAAGAATGGCTTCTTAGAAAATACCAAATGTTGAAAAAGACATAGAACTACTGAAATAGTTCAGTAGTTCTAATTAAGACTGCCTGTTGCCATGTTAATTGGCAATCTTCAGGAAACCATTTGGTATTACCTTAAAAATTGAATCCATACTATGACCTAACCCTTAGATTCCCAACAAAAAGTCTTGTAATGTACACCAAAAGGCACATATAAGAATGAGAATAGCAGTGCTATTTGTAACAGCTAAAAACTAGAAGCAACCCAAATGTCCCTTGACAATAGAATAGATAATTTGCATTTTATTTATACAATGGAATATTTTACATCAGCGAAAATAAACTGCTTTACCCAAAGACATAGTATATTCTCATATATATTATTTTGAAAGAAACCAGCATAAAGAGGACATAGTCTATATTTTTAATAATACAAAGTTCAAAAGCAGGCAAAACTTACTAATGACAATAGGAAACAGGATAATGGTGATCTGTGAGGAAAGAGTGCAGGGTCCCAGGTGCAGGGGCACAAGGAGGGCCTCTTGAATACCCTCTTAAAAGGTGGGCATTTCTTTATCAGAAGGTGATTATTGAAATGTGTTCATCAATATTCATTGAGCTACATGCAGGAATTGTGCACTTTTCTGATTATATGTTATAAATCAATTATAATTTACTTAATAATAATATACACTTTACTAATTTTTCGATGTAACCTATTAGAACACTGAAAATACTACCCCAGTCATTACAGATTGTTCCATTTCTCTTCTTACACTCACTCAAAAGAAATATGAAGCATAGAGTTTTG